ACCCAACCTAAAGGACATAACCCAACCTAAAATACATTTTAGTATTCTACACAGTATTATTTTAATAACAATTATTACTATCTGAAAATAGTCTGAAAAAAAAAATTACCCAAAAAAAACTATTATTATTTGCATCTTAAAAAGTCCAAACTGCACTGTAGTCTGTCACCTTTTAAAAGCCCACCATTATTCTATTACTATTGCACGCTTTTATAATATATTTTTTCCCCCATGCTTTCCACTCACCGCCTCTATAAATCTCTCCCTATAAACCCTCGATAACATTTCTACTTTTTTCCAAAACAAACCAAGAATTACTCACTGATTTGGAAGAAAAAAAAAAACTGAAAATTAACATACGCGCTCTATCTCATAAGTCTCGCTATCTCTACCCAAGCACCGGACCCAGCAAAACAGAGCATCTGATATGAATCATTTGAGTAGAAAAAAATTGCAGTGTTTGAAGGCTTTCGTAGTTTTATAGGTAAAGAAGAGGAAAAATTGGATCTTGATTCTGTGTAGGGGGGTTTTAGATCTTGCGCAAGCTAAGAGGAAAAAAAACAAAAGGGGGGCAAAGAATGAAGATTATGAAGGCTATTGATTCTTCAGAGTGCCCATTTTTCTGTGGATTCTTGGTTGTGGAGGCTTATCCCAAAAGGTATTCTTCCAAGATCCCATCTGATTTGGTGCTTTTCTTGGGCCTTGGCTTCATAGATTGGTAATTTTTTCTGTATTTGCTTTAGGTTATTTGTGAACCACACATATTTAGATAAGAGTTTGCGAAAAAAAAGGGGGATTTTTGGGGGCTTCTTGTCACAGAAAAATAGAAGTTACAATCATCTAGTGAAGGGTTTATGGTTTTGATGGGTCTGATTCATTACATCTCCCTCCTGTTTTTGAAGGGTTTATTGAGATTCATGGTTTGGGATTAGACTCAGTCTTCATCTAGCTTTGGTTGATTGGATTGGGGTTGAAATATTGTTTTTTATCTTACTTTTTAACTATTTTCTTGTTTACTGATTTCTGGGGGAGTATAATTGGGGCTTATGAGTGTCTCCTCCCTTTCATCTGGTTTTGTGGGTTTATGAAAAAAAAAAACACAAAAATGGATAGATTTAGGGCTTTGATGGATGTGGAGTTTGTAGCTGGGATTATTGACATCATCAAACTGTTTTAGAAGAACAAAAGTTTGTATTTTTACATAAAAAGATACATTTTTGAGGCAAATTTAGTCAAGCCCATCATAAAAATCAACTTTAGAGGGAGAAAAAAGAGAAATATTTTTTTTCAAGATGGGAGATGGTCTCCTGACAGCTTTGTCGATCGAGAACCACCATCACCCCTCGACTCTATTATCCATGGACTCGAGCGCTTCATCAACTCACGACGAGCTGGACCTCGAGATGAGCCACCATCTTATCCTCACCCGTCCGCCCGACATCAACTTGCCCCTCTCGAGCCCGCCTCCTCCTCATCTCTGGGCCCACCCACCCCCCGACATCCTTGACGTTGGTCTGGGCCCTGCCCAACTTTACGGGCCCGACACTTTTCTTGTCCTTCCGAAACAGACCGGCAAAAAGTGCGGGAAAAGGGTCGACACCATATGGGGCGCCTGGTTTTTCTTCAGCTTCTACTTCAAGCCCGTCCTCAACGACAAATCCAAGGCCAAGATCGTACGTGACGGTAACGGGCTTTCCGGGTTCGAAAAATCGGACCTCCAGCTCGACAATTTCATGGTCCAGCACGACATGGAGAATATGTACATGTGGGCTTTTAAAGAGAGGCCCGAAAATGCCCTCGGCAAAATGCAGCTTCGGAGCTACATGAACGGGCATTCTCGTCAAGGCGAACGCCCCTTCCCGTTTAGTGCCGAAAAGGGTTTTGTAAGATCTCATCGTATGCAGAGGAAACACTACCGAGGCCTCTCGAACCCTCAGTGTGTACACGGGGTCGAATTATCCCCTGCCCCAAGCTTAACGAATCTCGACGAGGATGATCGGAGGAGATGGGTCGAGTTAACGGGCCGAGATATTAATTTCACGATACCCCCCGAGGCGAGCGATTACGGGTCATGGAGGAATATGCCGAATAATGGCGATTTCGAACATATTCACAATAATAGCAGTAACAATTCGCTTTGTCAAGCCAAGAAATTCGCTACAAGTTCGCCCGAAGGAAACAAAAGAAAGAAGGATTCAGTGAGTGACGAGGATTGTTTTTTGGGGGGCATTATAGTAAATGGTCAGGACGACCCGACCCGCGACCAGGAAACCCCCCAGTGGCTGGCGGGGTCGAGCGGGGTGATGAGGAGCGCGTGTGGGCCTGTGACAGCAGGCAAGACGACTTATGAGGATGAAAAGGGTTATCTGATTTTGGTCAGCCTCCCGTTTGTGGATCGACAGAGGGTGAAAGTGTCGTGGAGGAACGCGATTTCGCACGGGATAATCAAGATTTGCTGCACGAGCACTTCACGAGCACCGGTTATAAAGAGGCAGAACAGGACTTTCAGGCTAATGGATCGAGATTCGGAGCACTGCCCGCCTGGAGAGTTTGTGAGAGAGATTCAGCTCCCGACTCGAATTCCGGAGAATGGCGAGATAGAAGCGTATTTTGACGGGCAAGGGACTGTGCTCGAGATATTGGTGCCGAAGCTACAGGCAGGCCCGGAAGAACACGAGGTTTACGTGTGTGTTCGTCCTCCTCACCGTGCAGAAAGTGAACTCATGTTGAACTGAAGAAAAAAAAAGGTTTGCTTATGTTCGGTTTTCTTGATATGAATATGATATTATATATGAACAGTTGTCTTGCTGAGTTTTGTGTATTTGAATTGCTTGTGACTATTGGTAAATTTGTCTATGCATAAATTAGATATGTTTGTGTATGTTTTGTTTTTCTTGTGGAGGAGTTTCATAAAGCTTGTTGTTGCATTTGGAGGAGTTTTTGTTTTGCTGGGTATATGTGATGTATGTGCAAATTGATCCAAATGCAGATGATTATTGTTATTGTTATTAATTCATTTTTATTTAATTATGGTTATGTAATTTATTTTTCTTGAAATTGATTACCTATTGTGTTTTGCGTGACCTGAATTTGAGATCTAGTGGATTTTTAAGTGAGATCTATCTAGATAATTATAAGTGGTGGATCATAAGGTTTGTATAGACTCAATCTTGGACACGGGTTGATATGTTATACATCTACTAATTGATGTATAGTAGACTATTAACATATATATATATATATATATATATATATGTGTGTGTGTGTGGGTGATA